GCCCGTCTGGTGTTCAACCTTCCCAAGTTCTCTCACGTCACCCCGCTCCTCCGCACACTCCACTGGCTTCCAGTTGAAGCTCGCATCTGCTACAAGACCATGGTGCTTGCCTACGGAGCTGTGAGGGGAACGGCACCTCCGTACCTTCAGGCTCTGATCAGTCCCTACACCCAAACGAGGGCACTGCGTTCATCCACCTCTGGCCTGCTGGCTCCCCTACCTCTGCGGAAGCATAGTTCCCGCTCAGCCCAGTCAAAACTGTTCGCTGCTCTGGCACCCCAATGGTGGAACAAGCTCCCTCACGACGCCAGGACAGCGGAGTCACACCACCTTCCGGAGACATTTGAAACCCCACCTCTTTAAGGAATACCTGGGATAGGATAAAGTAATCCTTCTACCCCCCCCCCCCCCCCCCCCCTTTACTACAACCCCCCCCCCCCCATTTAGCGTCTGCTAAATGACGTAAATGTAAATGTAAATGTACCTTCAAAGGCACTTAAATATTTTGTCTTGCCCATTCACCCACCCTCTGAATGGCACACATACACAATCCATGTCTCAATTGTTTCAAGGTTTAAAAATCCTTCTTTAACCTATATCCTCCCCTTCATCTACACTGATTAAAGTGGATTTAACAGGTGACATCAATAAGAGGATCATAGCTTTCCCATGGATTCACCGAGTCAGTCTATGTCATGGAAAGAGCAGGTGTTTCTAATATTTTGTACACTCAGTGTATGTATGTAATTACGTATGTACCTGTGTGCATATATAAGTATGATCATTTAATTTTTTGTATACAACAAATACAGTGTCTTATAAGCCCATGTGAGCTGGGCATCATCAAGATGCATGACACTATAATAAATCATACGGACGTCTTTTCAAACAGGTTTTGCCCACTGGACACCTTCACTGGCTTGCTGCTTTTCATTATGTGATTGGAAAACTGTTAGTGCTGTAATGACATAAAGGGTCCTCTTTATTTATTTATTTTGTTGCAACAGCATTTTGTTGTATTTCATAGATGACACATATACACTTAAGAATGTAGCTGTAGGAGAAAGGGTCAGTTTACCATACCCCAATTAACCTGTAGCAGCATGCAGTGTGTGCGTTCATTTGTTTGTGTGTGTGTTTGTTTTGTGTGTGTGATAATGAGGTCATAAGGGTCTATGATAGTTAATGGGATTTTAATTAGTAGGTAAAGTGTGTTTATGTTGACACTGCCCTATTAGTCTTCACTTCAGAGAACATTCAATGCGGACACCTGGGGCCATCACCTCTCTTAATGAGCTATTACATCAAACAGACTCACGCTCATGCACACGTACACCCTAAGGACTCCACACACTACATGCTGCCCCAGGTTAACACTCAAACACTTACTTGTGTGTAACACTTAAGCTTGATTCCTCCCTGACCTTTGACAGCCACATCAAACAACTGTGTAAAGTGTCATTCAATACCTCAAGAACATTGCCAAACTTCGTCCCACCCTCACTCAGTCTGACGCAGAGAAGCTCCTCCATGCTTTGATCTCCTCAAGGCTGGACTATTGAAACGTACCCTTCATCGGGATGCCTGGCAGGAGTCTCCAGAAACTCCAATACGTCCAGAACAGCGCTGCCAGGATCCTGATGAGAGTGTGGAAACACCATCACATCACCCCCATCCTGGCATCTCTGCACTGGCTCCCCGTCTCATTCTGGATTGAATTCAAAACCCTCCTGCTGACTTTCCAGTGTATTCATTGCAATGCCCTTCCTTATCTTAAAGAACTGCTCTCCCTCCATAACCCCACCCACACTCCCAGGTCAAGCGATAGCCTGCTCCTCCACGCCCCCAGGACCAAGCACCGCTCCTTGGGATATCGACTGCCCCCAGCCTCTGGAATTCCCTCCCGGACCACCTGAAGGCACCACAGACTCTGGGCTCCTTTAAAACGTTTCTTAAAGACATTTCTCTTTAGGAAGGTTTTCTGTTGATAGCTGTGCTCCTTGGTGTCCTTGTATGTTGTAGCATCAGCTGTGTTCTTTGTGTCAGTTGCCCTGTCTAGTTGTGTCCCCAAATAAAATAAAACAATTCAGGTGGGGGGGGTAATTCTTGTATTTTATGCACTTTAAGATTACTCTGTATAATGAAAAGCGCTTTACAAATGTAATAGATTATTATTATTCACAGTATATCCACCAACACAAAGACAGAAACTGTATTTTGTAATAAGCAAACAAACACAACCATGATGTTATTCTGTTATTCCCTGCTACAGAAGAGTGTGTTTTTGGTAACAAAGTTATAATGACTGTTGATATGAGCTCGGAGGTGATGAGACACCCGCAGGACTCATTAGGACCCTATCTGGAAGAGGGAGGGGGTGTCAGTAGGGGGCAGTGTGTGTGTGTGGGAGGCAGGTGAGGGTAATTAAAGAGCGACTGCCACTATAAACCCACTAATCCCTTTGTGGCATCGATATGAGTCAGAAACATTTGTTCTAGTGTCAAAATTGACTACAAAGTGTAAATAGGATAATTTTGGTCATAAAGTCAGTCTCATCTAAAACAGAGTTTGGAACCTCAGTGCTTCACAAAGAGTAAATAAAGTGATGGTTTGGATTACAATTATGTCAACAATTCATGCCCCACTATGCCAAGCTCCACGTGCAAATCGCCCCACCGTCCACTTCGCTTCCCTTCATTGAATGGGGCTCCGTTGTTTCATCATCCCCAACCAACGCGTTCAAAGGATCACGTTTGAGACTGACAAGCCCTAGATGGATTGACCATGCAATTCATGCTTCCAGCATTTTAGTGGGGCCTTTCAGAACAGGTGTGTATATACTGAGATCATGTGACAGATCATGTGACACTTAGATTGCACACAGGTGGACTTTATTTAACTAATTATGTGACTTCTGAAGGTAATTGGTTGCCCCAGATCTTATTTAGGGGCTTCATAGCAAAGGGGGTGAATACATATGCACGCACCACTTGTCCGTTAATTATTTATTATAATTTTTTTGAAACAAGTTTTTTTTTCATTTCACTTCACCAATTTGCACTATTTTGTGTATGTCCATTACATGAAATCCAAATAAAAATCCATTTAAATTACAGGTTGTAATGCAACAAAATAGGAAAAACATGAAGGGGGATGAAAACCTTTGCAAGGCACTGTACATCTTCACAATGGTGGCCAACATCTGCCTTATAGTACTGATCTCCATGGAGAGGAGCCTGCATCATTCCATGTACATCCTTTTCTGAAACTTGCCTCTTAATTACATAGTCGGGGCTACAGCAATGATACCTCGTCTGTTAGGGGACATTTTGACCGCAGCTCCTAAGCGATATATCACTTACATAGAGTGTGCCATTCAGGCTTTCTATACTTATGTTTATGCTACGACATCACACACCGTTCTCATGATCATGGCCTTTGACAGGTATGTGGCCATCTGCAACCCCCTGCGGTACACTACCATCATGAACAGCAAAATTGTAATCAGGTTGTCTGTGACTGCCTGGGAGGTGGCCATAGTCTTAGTGGGATTCTGCTGGGCCTCACCATCCGCCTGTCACCCTGCAGGTCTAACATATTTAACCCGTACTGCGACAACGCCTCCTTACTCAAGCTCTCCTGCAACGGCGTGATTATAAATAACATATATGGCTTAACCTTTACTGTTGTGCTGTTTGTCTCGTCCATAGGCAGCATCAGTCTCGCCTATCTGAAGATTGCCATTGTGTGTCTGAGTAGTAGAAACAGCTCTTTAAACAGCAAGGCCCTGACAACCTGTAGCACACACTTACTGGTCTACCTTAACGTGCTGGGATGTGGGTTCACCATTATCATCTTCCATCGCTTCCCAGCCTATGCAGACCTGCGCAAACTGAGTAGTGTGCTGGGTAATGTGGTCCCTACCTGTCTCAACCCCATAATATATGGTTTACAGACTAAAGAGATTAAACAGAGGATATTTAGAGTGTTTCACAGAGCCAAGGTGGCCGCATGATTTTGTGTTAAATCTGACAGGAAAATAAATTATATATTGTGTGATGAGAACTGCAGTGTATGTGTGTGGCATTCATAAAACAAGGGTGGAGTTTCTTCTCAACCACTACCTGAGGGACCTGTAAGGGTTCTGTTGAATTGGATCCTAACATTATTTGAGAGCCATTATTTCATTGATGGTATGCACATTCAAAGCATGTTGTAACATTTTAAACATTCAGCTGCCCCGGTTTGTGTTAGTACTGCTGTAAAAAAAATCATAATTTCTGCCATAAAGCAAATCTACTGTAAAAGACATAACTAGGAAGAACACTATGTTTTCAAACTGACATTTATTTTTAGGTGGTGCAAAGTTTTGGGGGGTGTTCCATTAATCATTTATAGATTTAATTTCCACATGCAAACCATCATAGAGTATTAGTTCCAATTATTCCATCAAGAGGAATAATTTATTGTGCAAAGTTTTATTTTAATTTGTGACGCTTACAGAGAAGACAGAGGCACAAAAACAAAATGTGTGGGTACACTTTATTTTACAGTGTGCTATTTCCCTGATATAAAGAAATAATATTGCGAGATTGTAATTATACAATAATCACCTAACAATTACTCCTCTTTCTTTGTGATTGATTAAAAACAAGTATAATTACATACCATTTAGTACTGTATCTGGTAGTTTGTACAATGCGATTGAACAGGACTTTTGTTGTTCTTTTCATTTTTGTGGTTCTTATCAATAAACTTAAAACTATTAAATCAGATGTATACAGTTGTGCAACTACACCATCAACCAAATGGTAAACAAGAATGTTGTTGGGTTTAGTTTCTAAGAGCATGATAAGTAAACATTAAGCTGTTCTGCCTTCTGAACAGCAAATAATAATTGGAAACAGTGACTTGGCATCATTTTGGAATCTCTGAAAATTATCACACTTTTTAGCCCATACTAAACTATTTTAAAGGAGATTGTATTGAATGTTTTGTGGTCAGGACAGTGTGTTGAGTGTTTTGCGGCCCTGCGGTGAGACGGCTCTATGTCGGCAGAAGACCCTCTTGATGGCCTCTCTCAGCTCCTTGTTCCTCAGGCTGTAGATCATTGGGTTCAGGAAAGGAGTCAGAGCCGAGTACAACACCGACACAATGATACGCACCTACAACAATAACACAACATGAATACAACATTAAGACAACTACAATACAACAACGATACATACCCCCCACCACATTATAATAAACGCAAAGATACCCATTATTATACAACAATGATACGCACCTACAACATCAACACAATGTTATCCAACCTTATCACAACATTATTAACAGCATGACCTTGATCATATTCACCCATAAACATAGCATTATTAGGGATGGTTCTATTCCATTTAAATTCCAATCAATTCAGGAAGTACTCTGAAATTCCAATTATCTTCAATGCTTTTCAATTAGGAAAATGGAATTACAATTGGAATTTGGTTTACTTTCTTAATTGACTGAAAATTAAATGGAATTGACCCCAACCATGTTATTAGGATTATCACAGCCCTGGCATTATGACACAAACCTACAACAACTGAAGAGCATCAGTACAATATGTTACACACAATTGATACAACACTGCCATCTCCTGGTGGGAACACCTTTTGCATGCCAGTAGACATCAACGGTGAAATGACAAATCAGAGGACATGGGTAACCAGAGTAATGGCACAAATATCAGTCAAACTTTTCAACTGGTGAATGTAGAATTCCCAGTGTTGACTGAAGGTTGTCTGATGGCAGAGTTAAACAGTAATTAGAACAGAGAAAGGGGGAGGGGGAGAAAGAGGATGAAGAGGAGGGTCACCTCTGGAGAGAAGTTTCCCACACGGTAGGAGATGTAGACGAATGAGGCAGAGCTGTAAGAAATGGACACAACCGTCAGGTGGGCGGCACAGGTGGTGAACGCCTTCAGTCGCTGGGCGGCGCTCATTTTAGCTATCGTCACACCGATGAGGATGTAGGAAGTGAGGATGAGCACACCCGTGGTGAGCAGCGCTACGACGGCAATGGACAGTGACACGATACTGTCCACCTGAGTGTCCCCACACACCAGCAGCCTCACTGAGGACGGGTCGCACCAGCAGTGGCGCACCACGTTGGGTCCGCAGTATGAACGCTGCATTGCCATGGTAGTGGACGGGAAGGTGCAGATGGCGCCGAAGGTCCACGCCCCAATGATGAGGAGCAGGCAGACGGGGCGGGTCATCACAGCGGCATAGCGGAGAGGATTACATATGGCCACATAGCGGTCGTAGGCCATGACGGTCAGCAGGGCGCGGCCGGTGACACCCATGTGGATGAAGCAGTACATCTGGAAGAAGCAGCCGGGGACGGACACAGTCTTGACCTCAGTCAGGAAGCCTGACAACATGTTGGGGATGGTGACCGTGGTGTAGACCATATCCACGAAGGATAGGTTGTGGAGGAAGAAGTACATGGGGGAGCCCAGCTTCGGGTCGGTCCGCACCTGTAGGATGAGACAAAGAGAGGGATTAGACAGTGATGTCATAAATAGGCCAAGCAGAGAGTTTTTCCCGACAACATGACTCGACCAGGGGAAACTCTGGGCCCTAGCCATAAATCTCAAGAGTTCAAGAGTCCTGACTCCTGAGGAGTATAGTGTAGTCTATGGGCCCTTAGAACAAATTCTCAGTGAGAGGACCTGAATGAAACCTTTTGATTACTTACACTTGCTACAACTCATGGTCTCTCTTATAACACAATCTCTATCTAATGTTGTTGTGATCTGGTTCTGGCTGTGCGTGTACAATGTACAGTACCAGGTAGATGATCATGATGTTTCCTCCTAGGATGATGGTGTAGGCCAGCAGGAAGATGATAAACAGGACCATCTTCTTCTCAGCCAGACTGGCCAGGCCCTGGATGATGAAGAAGGCGACAGGGCTGGGCTGGGTGCTGTTCATACCTCTGGGCCAGTGGGCCTGATAGGATCTCAGACAAACCTGGTGCAGACAGAAAGATACATTGATTCCGTGTAGCCTACACATAGAAGAAGCACATTCTAAATAAACATGGCTTAGTACAGTTATATTCTGGTTACTAAAGTAGCTACATTAATACATGGTGTAAGGATAATTTATATGAAAAGTGTTGCCTATAGAAGCAAAAAAGATCATTCGTATTGTTTCAGATTCTCAACCTTGGTGGTGTCAGAGTGGGGACATCTATGATACATTCAATGTGATATGATATAACACAAACATGTATAATAATTTATAGCAAGTGGTTCTCAATTATGTTTAGCCCCAATGCAGTCAAAATTCTGTTTTTCCTGTGTTTTGTATCATATTGTACAACAGCTGATGAAACGAAGACTGTAAAAGTGTGAAGAAATTTCCTGAAGTGTTATTTCCTGATAGTTGCTGGTTGAAAATACAATCTACACAGGACCTTCTAATCAGGAGGTTTTGCATGGGTGGAGTTTTGGCTTGCCTGGTGACATCACCAGGCAGTATAATGCCGCGATCCAAACAACTTGCAACTAGGAAATCTCCAACTTCTGTTTTCAATGTGTTCATGACAACTGGGAACTCGGGAAAAACAAGCTCTGACTGGGAAACAGTGTTTTGAACGGCCATCTAACTTGAAACACTGGCATCATTCTAGCCATTCCGACTTTGCGACCTGAAAATCACTGACATCATGATTTGACCTTGTTTTTTTCAGAGTTGCCAGTTTTCTTGAACGTAACATTATTATTATTATTGTATTTTTTTAGGGGGTATATCAGCTTTAATATTGCAGATAGATTAAATTCCATCAATGTAATTGTCTGCATCATTTCCAATCCCCCATATATATTTTTTGTAAATATATATATTTATATATATAAACACATACACATACATACATACCCACATGTACACAAATATACATACATATCCACATACATTTACATATACACATACGTATAAAACATATCTCTATGAGTTCTCTATACAAATTCACATAGTGTTTCCTATTGAAATATTTTCAGACAAATCCACAAATCCAACTGTTAAAAAACAAAATCTATATGATAAGTGGAGGGTTAACCTCTTACCTGAGTGAGTGCAGGTCACACTCAGGGATCTTGAAGCTGAGCAGCACCTTAAATACAACCATTTTACCAGCGTCCCATAGTCCCTGTTTTTCCACAGGATGATGTGAGAGGCCGAAGGGACTTGCTATTTAACTAGTTTGTACATCTACATTCATTAAGAACTTTCCCTGGATTCATTAAACAAGAGAAAACGCCAATGCAACGTATGTTTACATTAAACTCCAGGTAAGTTGCATCATTACAGAATATGAATAATAAAAAGTCATTTAGCTACTGTATTTAACTCTAATTGGTGGTGTTTGTATGTGTTTACTTCTCTTGTGAGTAATTAGGTATGGCTCATTAGTTGCAAACAGGTGTTAAATTGGGATTTCGTTACTGGTGGATCTGTCCGCAAAATCATGTTTACTGTGCACTGACTTCTATTCCTACTATGATTGAACAAAGGCCAGAATTAAACTGTACTTGTGATTCTGAGAATATACCATTTTTACTTAGTGAACAAAAAACTAATAACTAAACAACTGGTCATAAGCAGTAAAAAAAGAGACCTCAAGGCAAATCTCAAATGACGCCCTCCACATTTAGTGTACAAGTTTTGGGCCTCATTTGTTCTCTTGTCAAAAGTTAGGAATAAGGGTTCATTTGAGACACAGACCTTCAGATAAAACAACAGGTTTTACTCTCCCACAGCCTTGTACAATATCAGTATTAGAATACCCTGCTGTAAGGTCAACTTCCTTTATGTTCTCTGGTTTATCATAGTTCTTGACTGTATTCCACTGAAGTCAAGTGTTAGATTCTCATGTATTGGTCACCTAAGAATATAAGGACACAGACAGAACGACAGAGAGTACATTTCTGAACAGGATTAGTTTCAGAATGAGGGGTGCTGTATGGGTCTGCTGGTTTTGCTGTTATGTCTGTTCGGGACATGGGCTCAGGGAGAGTGTGGAGGGGTCACAGAGAATGACATCACTCCACAGGGCTACAGCAGAGTGGGGTCAAGGAACTGAGGCTGAGGAGACAACTCACAAACAGACGAAAGGTCAGACCTCTGCTGACATCTGGGCTGAACTGAGAGTGCTGAGAGATATGATGGTGGAACATAGAGTGGAGCTGAGGAACATGGAGGATTGGGGAGCTGCAGAGAGAGACTATAGGCAATACCCTGTTGGGATTTGAAGTACTGTTTAATTTTGTAACCTATTTAGTCATGATGAAGATTCACATACTGATCCATGTCATTCATTTTGTTTTCCAGCTCAAGTAGCAGCCTTGGAGGCCAGAGTGATCACCACTGAGAGAGAAAATGCGGGTAAGAATATGTGATATGTGTTAAGTAATATGTTTATGACAGGCTAACATATTTTGAGGGTGGGAAAGGTGCTCTACAAATTAATAATAATAATAACTATTATTACTATTTGTCACGTTCGTTTAAGGGCGGGTCAGACCAAGGCGCAGCGTGAAATGCATACATGTTTATTAAATGATAAACACGCGACAAAACAACAAACCAACGAAACGTGAGGTCCTAAGGCTACACACAAAACAAGCCTACTCACGGAACAAGATCCCACAACTAACGAGTGCCAATAGGCTGCCTAACTATGCTCCCCAATCAGAGACAACGAGCGACAGCTGCCTCTGATTGGGAAACACACCCGGCCAAACATAGAACTACAAAACCTAGATAATACACATAGATATACACAACATAGAATATTCACACCCTGACTCAACATATAAGAGTCCCCTGAGTCAGGGCGTGACAGTACCCCCCCCCCCAAAGGTGCGGACTCCGACCGCACAACCTTTACATAACAGGGTAGGGGCCGAGTGGGGATCCGGCTCCGGGCGTGACGACCACATACTCTCCGCCTCCCTATTGCGCCCCTGGTCTGGTCTGGACCTCGGCGCGCTGCTTCCCCTCTCCTTCCTCCCACGAAGTACCAAACCCTGTCTGGACCCTGGTGTGGGAGACCCCGAACCTGGAGAGGGGCTGACGTCTGGGTCTGGACTGGAGCCGCTGACCGGAGCTGGACTAGGCACCGGTGGAGCGGACTGCTCTGGCTCTGGACTGGAGCCGCTGACCGGAGCTGGACTAGTCACCGGTGGAGCGGACTGCTCTGGCTCCGGAGTAGAGCTGCTGACCGGAGCTGGACTAGGCACCGGTGGAGCGGACTGCTCTGGCTCCAGAGTGGAGCCGCTGACCGGAGCTGGACTTGGCACCGGTGGAGCGGACCGCTCTGGCTCCGAAGTGGAGCCGCTGACCGGAGCCGGACTGGACCCCGGTGGAGCAGACTGCTCTGGCTACGGAGCGGAACAGCTGACCGGAGCTGGACCAGGCACCGGTGGAGCGGACTGCTCTGGATCCGGAGTGGAGCCGCTGACCGGAGCTGGACTAGACCCCGATGGAGCGGACTGCTCTGGCTCCGCAGTGGAGCAGCTGACCGGTGCCGGACCAGGCACCGGTGGAACGGGTACGAGCCGTGCCGGACTGGACACACGCACCACTGGTCTGGTGCGAGGAGCAGGCACGGGCCGGACCGGACTAGGAACACGCACCACTGGCTTGGTGTGAGGAGCAGGAACAGGCCGGGCCGGACTGGGTACACGCACCACTGTCTTGGTGCGAGGCGCAGGAACGGGCCAGGCCGGACTGGCGACACGCACCACTGGCTTGGTGCGAGGGAAGGAACGGGCCGGGCCGAACTGGGAACACGCACCACTGGCTTGGTGCGAGGAGCAGGAACGGGCCGGGCCGGACTGGCGACACGCACCACTGGCTTGGTGCGAGGAGCAGGAACAGGCCGGGCCGGACTGGCAACACGCACCACTGGCTTGGTGCGAGGAGCAGGAACGGGCCGGGCCGGACTGGGAACACGCACCACTGGCTTGGTGCGAGGAGCAGGAACGGGCCGGGCCGGACTGGGGACACGCACCACTGGCTTGGTGCGGGGAGCAGGCACGGGCCATACCGGACTGGGAACACGCACCACTGGCCTGGTGGGAGGAGCAGGAACGGGCCGGGCCGGACTGGGAACACGCACCACTGGTCTGGTGCGAGGAGCAGGAACGGGCCGGGCCGGACTGGGGACACGCACCACTGGCTTGGTGCGGGGAGCAGGCACGGGCCGTACCGGACTGGGAACACGCACCACTGGCCTGGTGGGAGGAGCAGGAACAGGCCGGGCCGGACTGGGAACACGCACCACTGATCTGGTGCGAGGAGCAGGAACGGGCCGGTCCGGACTGGGGACACACACCACTGGCTTGGTGCAAGGAACAGGAACGGGCCGGACCGGACTGTGGAGGCGGACTGGAGGTCTGGAGCAGAGAGCTGGCACAACCCGTCCTGGCTGGCTGCCCACTTTCGCACGACACGTGTGGGGCGCTGGCACAGAACGCACTGGGCTGTGCATGCGCACTGGCAATACAGTGCGTTTCTCCTTATACCTGGGTTCCTCTATTAACCCCCGCTGCTTATATTGCCTAACCAGCTCCTCTCTCCGTGCCTCTACTTCCTCCTTTTCCCTGCGAGCCTCCTGCAGTGCCTCCTCTTGAATGGATCTCTCTCGCTCTATTCTATCTATCAGCCCCCGTAATATGGTGGACTCCTCTCTTACCCCGCAGATCCGATCCTTCTCTCTCTTTCGGCACTCCTCCTCCAGTGAGGACTCCTCCGGGAGCCCCCACGAGTTAGGGAACAGAAACTCATCGTCGTCGTCGTCATCCTCCGACTCCTCAGTATAATATTGTTCCCACTCTTCTTCCCATGGTCGTAGGGAATCAATCTGCAAACCCACCGGGTGCAGTGGTCGGGGCTCTTCTCTTTCGCTCCCCGACCACCCCTTT